ACAGCAAAAAAAAAAAAAAAATCGGCCGTCTTGGGGCTGGGAGTAGAGATAATATGCACTAGGAAAAGGAAATGTACTTCAGTACACTGAGATGTGGGATGCCAATCACTGAGACAAGCTGGGGCTTAAAGCCTGCTTGGGAAGTGAACAATCCAGGAGTCACTGTGTCTACTACTTTGAAGATGAGAGGAAGTAGGTATGTGAGGATATGGGAGATTTTTTTTTTACCATATGTATATTTTTTACTTCTTTTCATTAAAATCTGTTTTTCTCCCTAGAATATGGTCAAGCAGAAAGCCTTGCGGGTTTTAAAGCAAAAGCGGATGTAAGTTATAAGCATAACCTCCTTTCCTCTAGCAGGTTTAACCAAAAGGGAAATGGTCTTCCATTCCGTTAGGTTTTCATACCACTTTATAAGTATTCTTGAGTTAATTGCAAATTTCATTTACACATACAGTTAGCTGGGTTTTTCTCCCCGTGCATGTTCAGCAACATCTGTTGCAGCACTGTCCATTTAAATAGAACTTTTTGCTTTGATGGGAGGTGTTTTGTATCTCTGCTCTTCAGTACAGTAGCTATTAGCCATGTGTGGCTATTGAGCACTTGAAATGTAGCTAGTGTGACTAAGGAACTCAAGTTTTAATTTTATTTAATTTTAACAATTTAAGTAACCATGTGTGGCTAGTGGCTTCTGTATTGGACTGCCCAGATCTATAGAGTTTGATTCTCCCATTTATTTAATTAGAGTGTGCCTTTTAAATTTTTATTTGTTTGTCTGTAAAATTGGGAATCTTGAATATTTGTTCCCTCCCATCAGAATATTTAACGGTCCTTAATTTGTTTTAGGTGACTGTGTCCCAGTGTTTGAGCAGAAGCCCAAGAGTATCTTTGGTACTTACCCTTGTGAGCTGTTGAGACCCTCTGCAGGGTTATAGAGGTCAGATGTAATCAGCTAATAAAGAACCAGAAAAATTGTTGATATCTCTATTCCTATTTATAAACTAACTTCTTATAAGACATCAGACACCATCTTACTCCTTTTAGATTAGACAGAATTGGAAAAATAAATTATAATGCCTAGAGTGGTGAGAGAGTGTGATAAAACTGTTACCTCTCTAATTGGTAGCATTGCAATTTTTAGGTAACTTTTTTTTTTAATAAAAGGATATTATTCATTGTAGAAACTTGGCAAGTACATAAACATGAGTAGAAGAAAAGGAAATCTACCTAGATTCCTACTAGCAGAAATAACCACCTTTAAAATGCTATTTTTACAGTTTCTTTCTCTGCTTGTGCATACATGGTATGTGTGCATATAATTTTTTAGAAGATAACAAATGGCATGTATATAGGTTATCCTTTTCCACTTAATGTTATATCATGAGTATTTTTGTCCTTCTAAATATTCTTTGCAAACATACTTTTTAACGGGGTAGTAATGTTCCACCACCATTTGCCTGCATCACTGACCATTTTTCTTTTGTTTGGATGGTTAGATGGTTTCGAAATATTGTATAAGGACTATAGTGATATAAGTCTTTGAGGCAGTATTATAAGTTGATATAAAGCTTTATTTTAAAAAAACATGGAGTGTCAGGCATTATATTAGGTTGGATAGATTACCTATTTGTGGATACGAGGTTAATAAAATAACATACCTGTCCTCAAGGAGTTCAGTCTACTGGAAAAACAGTTTCACTATATGTATGAAGAGCCTTAAAAACAGTCTTGCCCTTTCCCCCAAGAATTCCATTTCGGGGAA